GGAGAGAATCCGCGATTGTGCGAGCGTGCGTAGAAAGGCATGTAAATCAATATAGGGAATCTGCCCTCGAGAAGTTCGACTCTATTAGTTTCCATAGGATCATTTGCCACTAAATTCTCCTAAATAATCATTTCTCCAGTCCAAAAATCTGACCTGAAACGTTTTCATCCAGGCCATGAACGCGTCCTAGTCTTTGTAGTAGTGCTCAATCTAAGCCTCAACTGCGTTTCTCCACAGTGGAAATACTTATTTTATCATTCTTGCGAGAACTGTGAGGTAGTTATCACATTACAGGTTGTGATGAGTTGTTTGTTTAACAGCAACTCAACTGCACTGTCCCCACTACTTCTCAATGAGGTCCATTTTTAGGTGACTAAAGAGGCGATCGAGGAGATGAAGCAACAGCGCGATAATATCGATTGGCACAAGGTCCGTGAAGAGGAACGTCGATTGAAGCACGACGTTATGGCTCACAATCATGCTTATGGAGCTGTGAGTGCCATTTTTTGAATATTTTTATGATATCTAATTGAGATCATGTTCCACGCCACACGAACTCCAAAGTCCAGGGCACATCTTGTCGTGAGAAAAAAAGAGACGAGTATTTCCTCAATATATGACCCCTTCCTATTTCCCGACCTACCTGCCTTCCTGCCATGTTCCCGAATTCTCCCAGCTTCCCACCATTTATTCTGAAACTGCGGTTGTTCCCGCTGAAAACTGCCATCTGAGGGAAGGGTGGGATGAATAAAGTCAATCGAGAAAGTCCAAGAAAAATCAACAACCAAAAATTTTTTCTCGAAAATTTGATCCTCCTCCTTACTGCGACATAAATACGACCCCTAGCTAGGATTCCCAACCTACCTCGGTTATATTATCTCCTCTCCTAGGCGGCGGCCAAGTTCCTAGTTGATTGTAGAAGACTTTTTCACCTTCGATGGGGGAAGGGGATGTCGCTTTCGGCAATGCTCCCAAACACCGAGGCGTGAGGTTCAAGAAAGTTCCTTCGCAAAAGAAGTGTATAAGTGTAGCAAGCATCATAAAGCGCTCATCACCGCCCTCAGCAGCTAATACCGTCGACTTCATCATGTATTTGTTTTTTTTCATAAAATTCCTTGAAATATTGTCGGGCTCTCATGCATTACACGATATCTTTCAGGTGTGCCCAAAAGCAGCTGGAATAATCCATCTCGGAGCAACGTCATGCTATGTTCAAGACAACGCTGATCTTATTGTTATTCGTGAATCTGTCGCATACCTCTGCTTGACGAGTGGGGTGATATCGGTGTATTTTTATTTTTATACAAAGCACACGCGCCAATGCTTGTGGGTCACTCTCGCCTCTAAACTGGCGCCATAGTACCCATTGTCCTCGACCTCTCGCTTTGCACTGTTAAAGTCATCTTGAAACCACGTTCCAAAGGGATTTGAAGCCTAGAAATTTACAACGTTGAATCGAGCCATCCACTACTATCTGTAATTGTATTCAAGAGCTGCTACCGTATTGGATCGAATGGCGACGTTTGCAGAACGCGAGAAGTCGCACGTAACCGTGGGTCGAACGCACTACCAAACAGCATCACTGGTAACAGTTGGGAAGCGAGCCGCATTATGGGCGCAAGAGTTACTTATGGCTTACAATCAGGTTCGTCAAGGCATCAACCTACTAAGTCTTTTTCTGTTAGGATCGTTTTCTTTTGGTGCCACTCATGCACCTTCTCCTTTATTTCGTTAATCAGGTTGGCGGAATGTCACATGCATGACATCTGAGTTAGACAGAATGTCGGCACTACATCCACTGTTTCGTACTGAGTAGACCACGCTATCCTGTGGGGTGTAAAGGCACGTCCCGCGTTTGGTGTGTCGACAGCGATCCTACCAGGAGGTACACGAACAACATGAATTAATATTCTTTGAATGCATCGATCTTCTGCTTTTCTCACGGTCTCTCGTCCGTGTGACACTCTGTGATCATTGTGACATCATACCCTCCGGCTTTTCGCAAATTCTAG